ACGGAGTGAATAAGTGATCACGCCTGTGTGAAGAAGCCTCCATAAAATCCCAGTAGCAGGAGGTTCTGAGAGCTTCAAGGTGAACACATCCACACCAGGAGGGTGACACACCCCAAGTCCAGGGGCACAGAAGCTCCTGCACTCGGGACCCTCCCAGACCTCGCCCTGTGTATCTCTTCATCTGGACGTCCGTCCGTGTGTATCTTTTATCATATCCTTCACTAAACTGGTAAACATAAGCAAATGTTCCCCTGAGTTCTGAGAGCCACTCTAGCAAATTAACTGAACCTGAGAAGGGGGTTATGGGAAACTCTGATCTGTAGCCAAGTCAGACAGAAGTTGTGGGCAACGTGGGGACCAGCTGCTTTCGATTAGCATCTAAAGTGGAGGGACGGTCCTTAGGGACTGAGCCCTTAACCTGTGGGGGGGGGGGTCTGGCACTGTCTCCAGGTGGACGGTGTCAGAACTGAGTTGGGTTGTAGGACACCTGGTTGGTGTCACAGAATTGCTGGGTCTGGGAAACCCCTATAGCTCTGGTGACCAGAAGTATCAGAAGTGAAATGCTCTGTGTGAAAGTAAAACAGACAGACACAGTGCGGACAGCTGTAGTTTCTTCCAAGGCAATCTCTAATGAAGGACATAAAATGATTTTTTATCTTTTCGGCCGCACCACTTGGCTTGCGGGATCTTAGTTCCCCGACGAGAGATCAAACCCGGGCCCCCTGCAATGGAAGCTCGGAGTCTTAACCACTGGACCGCCAGGGAAGTCCCTGAAACGATCTTAAAGGGAAAATTATAAAGTGTTACCGAACGACATCAAAGTAGAAAGAAAGAGAGGGTACGTGTTCTCGGAAAAGAGACGCAATGCCATCATGATAGCAACTCTCCCAAACAGATGCAGAGTGTTAACAAAATTCCATTACATCCAAAACCAGGTCGGGTTTTTTTGTTTGTTTATGAAAAACTACTTCTAAAAACTGAAATGAGAGTCAAATGTCTAAGAATAGCCAAGTTTCCTACAGAACAAGGTGGAAGAACTTTCCCTGAAACACATCAAAGCATTTAAGTCCGGACAGTAGTTGGGGCCACACAGCATTAGCAGGAGGAGGGACTCACAGACCTGGGGAAAGAATGGACATGGGGCAGGAATCTCCTCCAGCGCAGGACAAACGGCTGTCTACGGGCGATGGGGTAGGGGGGTGGGTAACACTGTCAATGTCATGTATAATAATCCATTTAATGCAGATTATTGGGGGGTTTTTTTGGCCGAGGCCCGAGGCATGAGGGATCCTAGTTTCCTGACCAGGGATCGAACCCGTACCCCCTGCAGTGGAAGCACAGAGTCTTTACCACTAGACCGCCAGGGAATTACTTTCAGAAGTTAAAGGCAAGTGTCCCACGACTTCTGTATACAGATTTTTCTTATATAAGGAAAATAAAAAAGAAGCTACAAAGGAGGAGACTGACCAATTTATATCTGTTAACCCTGAGTCCATTCACCAGCACAGAATAAAGGGGATGAAAAGATAAACCACACATGGGGAGAAAATATTGGCAGTGCCTGCAAACGAAAAAGGATTCATGCCCAGAGCATCTAAAGAAAACTGAAGAAATCAATAAACATACAAATACACACCTCACACAGAAGATGAACCACCACACCCTCGTCCGGTAAGAACCCTACGTAACCACAAAGAGACCCTGGCTCCCACTCGAGGTGGACAAACATTTATCGAGGTCACTCAGCGATGGGGACCACAAGGAAGAAATAAACAGTGGGGCAAGAATACACTCCAGACATGACCAGCATTTTCTGAGTAAATTTAAACTTATCCATAAGCTACGAAGCCACGCTTTTTTCTCTGAAGTGCAGAAACTCAAGTCACACCTCGCACTTGGAGATAAAAACAAGAATGACTGTCGCAGCATTGCTAACTAATCAAAAAATGCACTTGGGGAATTCCCTGGCGATCCAGAGGTTAGGGCTCTGCGCTTCCACTGAAGGGGGCCCAGGAATTAATATCCCACAAGCCATGGTGTAGCCAAAAAAAGAAAAAAACACGTGGAAGAACCCAGGCAGCAAAGGCACTGGAACACATGAGTCAACGGGAGAGCTGAGCCTCAGACACCAGCACGTGTGAAACAGACTGGGGCTGAGGAACCCCAGAGAAACTTCTGTGTGACATTACTGGTGATTTACGAACTAACGTTCACTTATTGGAAACTGAAGGCGCAAAATCAGACGACACACTGCTTGGTGATAAGAGATGGTAAAGGTATGAATAATAACAAAGAATCAGGACAGAGGTCACCTTGGCAACAGGAGGGAGAGAAGACGTGGGAGAAGCACAGGAGATGCGGAGATGCCAACAGGTACCAGGGCCTACCTGTACACCTGGGGGGTGAGTCCACAGGTGTTTATATTGTTATTAATGTTGCAGCAAAACAGAAACAAGCAAACGGGCTTAGGCACAGACCAGCCTAACGGGCCTGAAAGAGATAAGCAACCTTGGTTATTCTGTAGCTGTTACTACTAACAAACACCTGTAGCTAGACTTGTCCTTCACAAAGCTGATTACTCTAGGAATCCACATGAATTAACACTCTGCACCTGGCACTCTTCTCCCCCTACACTCCCTTGTAGCGCTCTTTATTTCACAGGCCTATAACTTCAGGGATACCAGACCCGGTTGCCAGGCTGCCTAACGCCAGCTGTGACCACTTTGAAATAATGCAAGAAAAAAATGCAAGACCTTCACAACTTTGATCCTTATCACCCACCCCAGACCAAGATTCCTGAGTATAAAAAACTTCTCTCTACCCTCTCGAGGGGGCACAGCTCTTGAGGCGCTAGCCTACTGTGTTCCCCCCTTTGCCTGGCAAAGAATCCAGCTATTCTTTCTTTTCCTCAAAACTCTGTCTCCATATTTCTGTTCCGCATCGGTGCACAGAGAGCCAAGATTATTTTCGCATCATTAACTTAACGCAAAAGGCACACGATTTAAGAGCAGCCCCACGGGAAGCACAGCATACCTCAGAGAGGACACACTACCCCCAGCACTACTGGAAGTGGGTCCCCTCCCCTCATGATCATGGCATCAACAGCTCCTCCTGTGGTAGTTCCATGGTCTGGACGCCACCTGCACGGGGTGAGGGGGGCAGCAAGACCCCAGGGCACCTCCCTTCACCTCCCTCGCAGGCTCAGCTTGTCCCCCACCCCAGGTGATGCCCCTGCTTCAAGCTCCGTGGGTCATTTACAGGAGACAAAGACCCTCCTCCCAGAGTGTGAATGGGAGCCTGCAGGATCCCTGCTTCCACCTGTGTTCACGGATAACGTAGAGGGAAATTCTAGGGCACGTTTATGGTTTTAATAACTGGATCCTGCTTATTCCTTTCAGAAGACAGGCATTGAGACAGGCTGGGACCTGGGACCCTTTGCTGCAGTGCTTGCACCTGGACAACCATCTCCTCCAGCAACAGATGCAAAGAAACTCTAAGGGACGAAAAATAACTGCACGCATGCGCAGTGGGGGCAAATTAAGAACAAGATACAAAAACGCCAAAACCCAACTGCCACTTCCGAGGTACCGGAACAAAAGCAGAGTCCTGTGCATGATCCCCGCACACTGCACCACCAAGGGGGTGGCCAGACCATCTAAGCCACCCCTCCGGCCCGACCCACCCACCTACCCCCACCCCCACCCCGTTTAAGGGACCAGCCCGCCCCTCCTCCTGGATCCAGCAAAGGCACCAGTTACTTGTTCTCGCTCCCTCGTGCTGTAGCAGGAACCTCAATAAAGCCTTGCCTGAACTCTTCACCTGGCCTGATCAATTTCTACTGATTAAGGGCTCCAAGAACCCAGGTAACAGTTATCAGCTAATACCCTCATGGTAACACAGTGTTTGTAAATTAATCAGAATTGAACACTAGTTGCTTTTACAGGTCACATTTTACAGAATTTTCATTAATCTGAATGCCACGTGTTAACAGGAAATGGAACAGGACCACAGCGTCAGGAACTCTGTAACTTGTATGGAAGAGTCACTATTATTTTTATAAAGACATGAATCCACCTCTTTGTCGACCTTATTTCAGTGTACTGTCAAGTTTATCAGCGTAATAGCCACTTATCTTACCAGCAAAAGTGAGTTCAGCAATAGAGGGAGTAATTGCAATCTATGACGGACCACCGGCAAACCCAGAGAATAATGAAGGGGCGCTTACTATTATAGGGAAAAGGAGTAGTTTGGAGGGGCTATAATAACCGAAGAGTCCATTGGAGGAGCTGGGCGTCCAAAATATGGAGGCTTCTCGGTGCCTGGGCTGTCCTGGCCCAGAGAGGTTTTCTTCTTTCTGCTGGGTAGTAAGATGCGCCTTCCCGTTGGAGATGTAGAGGGTGGTCTCTACCTGTTTGGAGTAATTGATGAAGCTTGGGGAGAGGGAGGGGGACGCAGAGAGCTCTCCCTATAGACCCATTTCCACTCCAACTTTAGCTGAGGTTTCTTCAATTAATTCCACAGAACTTTCTACATTTTCCCCACAACTGCAGTGAAAGACAGGACATTCCTGAGACCCTTCCCAGAACAACACGAGTCGAAACAACACGCTCCGCGCCAGGAGACCAAGAACAGACCTGAGGAACTTACTACTCTAAGTGGAAGGAGAGGGGGAAAGGATCCGTTATTTTACCTTTACTGAAAACTGAGGCCAGAGTGAAAGCAGAACCGTCAGGTCCAGGGTGGGTCCCCTGCAGCCACCCCAACCGCCCTCCCCAAGTCCTGTCCTCCCTCCGACCCCACCCAGCAAAGGACTCGGGGAGGGACCCCCGCGTGGGGACGGGACAGGACGCCAAGACCCCACCCCGGGGCGGAGGGCTTATTGGGGTGGAGACTAGCAGGGGGAGCGCGGAGGGAGACGCGGGACCCCGTCAGCTTCCAGCGGGTTCTTTGCCTGTGCCAACCAGCCCCTCCTGGTCTCCGGCCCCAGCTTGGGCACTCACCATCTCCTCCTCGCGCTGAGCTCTCCCCGGCGTCATGCCAGCGGCCCCGAGACTTGGGCAGGTGAGAGCGATGGGGAACGTACTCCTGGAAGAGCGTGGGGCACGCACGCAAGAGCTTGGCGTCCTCACGAGCTCAGCGTGCGCACCAGCTCTGCTTAAGTACAAGAGCCACGACAACACGGGCCGAAATTGCGCCCGCCCCCGACCCTAATTGGACGGTGCCCTGGGCCCCGCGCCCTGATTGGACGGAGTTCGGGACTCCACGCCCTGATTGGTGGGGGAGGGTTCCAAATTCTTCCCTGACACTTGATTGGGCAGTTCTCCAGCCCCTACTTACAGATGAGAGGTTAGTCCTCCAGGCCCCGCCCCCGCCGTTCCTAATTGGACAGCATCACGGACTCCCTGGGAACCCGAGCAAAAGGCCGGCTGAGGCCACGTGTTGTCTGCCTCAGATGGTACCTACGCGGCCTCCTTCCCGGGACGGGTCTCCGAGCGGAAACTCCTCCCTGCAAGGCGGACTCGCCGTCCGCCTGCCACTCGGCGGCCCCTCGTAGTCCTCCTGCTGGACCTGGATGTCCTGACTCAGTTTCTTTGCGGAGCGCCCCTTGTCCGGAGCGGGGACTGGAAGGACGAGAATGGCACAGGGCAGGGGGTCCTGTTATGGTGACCTTCGGGGTCAGGGGTCGGCCCGATGCGAGGTCATCCTGGGTCTGTGCCCTTTAAGAACAAAGACTTACTGACGTCACCGCGTGCAACGAAGGGTCAGGTTCCGTCCCACAGGTGACCTTTGACACGGGGAGGGTCCGCCTTCCATCCCCTTCCCCATCTGTTGGGCTAGAGGTCAGCAGCCCTCAGCCAGGGACCTTTGCCCCGTGGGAAATCGGACCCCCAGTCCCCAGACTATGTGCAGGACTGGTCTTAGCACAGCCACAGGTGTGAGAGGCCACAGACCTCAGGTGTGTATTTTACACTACAAGGAAATTTATGTCAGATCAGGCTTTAGTCAGTCCATGTGACATTTGAAACGTTAAAAGCTATTATTTCCTTTTTCAGATTATAGAGTGATGGTTGCACAGGTAAGCGACATACAAAAAACAGTGAGTTTTACACTTAAAAGAGTGAACGGGGCTTCCCTGGTGGCACAGTCGTTGAGAGTACGCCTGCCAATGCAGGGGACACGGGTTCGTGCCCCGGTCTGGGAGGATCCCACATGCCACAGAGCGGCTGGGCCCGTGAGCCATGGCCGCTGAGCCTGCGCGTCCGGAGCCTGTGCTCCGCAACGGGAGAGGCCACAACAGTGAGAGGCCCGCGTACCGAAAAAAAAAAAAAAAAAAGTGAACGTTATGGTATGTGAGTTATATCGCCATTGAAAAAGAATTAAAAGCAGTAATAGCCATGATAACTCTACCTCCTACCTCCATTTAGTCACCACTAAAATGTTTTCTGACTCTAGATTTGCCTATTCTGGATCTTATATGTATATATAAATCATATAATATTGGCCTTTTCTGCCTGTTTTTTTCCTCAGCATGTTTTCAAGGTTCATCCACGTTGCAGCATGTGTCAGATCTTCCTTCCTTTTTGTGACTATTATTCTCATCTTATGTACAGGTTACACTTTATCCGTTCATCCACTGATGAACATTTGGAATGTTTCACCTTTTAGCGATTTTAAATAGTACTGCAACCAGTATTCATGTACACGTATTTGAGCATCTCTTTCAGTAAAGACAGGAGTGGAATAGTTGGGTCATAGGCTAATTCTATGTTTAACTTTCTGAGGAACTACCAACATCTTACCTGTAGTGGCTGTACCATTTTACATTCCCCCCAGCAGTGTACAGGGTTCTAATTTCTCCATATCTTTGGCATTTCTTTTCTAATTTTTTGATTCTACCCGTCCTGGTGGTTGCAAAGTGGTTATCTCATTGTGGTTTTGACTTGCATTTCCCTGATGATTAGTGATGAATATTTTCGTGTCTTTATTGGCTATTAGTATGTTATCCTTGGATAAATGTCTGTTTACCTCCTTGGCCCGTTTTTTGTGTTTTTGTGTTTTTGTTTTTTTTGTTTTTTGTGGTACGCGGGCCTCTCACTGTTGTGGCCTCTCCCGTTGCAGAGCACAGGCTCCGGACGCGCAGGCTCAGCAGCCATGGCTCACGGGCCTAGCCGCTCCGCGGCATGTGGGAACCTCCCGGACCGGGGCACGAACCCGTGTCCCCTGCATCGGCAGGCGGACTCTCAACCACTGCGCCACCAGGGAAGCCCTTGGCCCGTTTTTTAATTGAGTTGTTTGCATTTTTGTGATTGACATGTTAGGCTTTTTAATGTTCTCTGGACAATAAAACCTTATCACATTTATGATTTGCAAATATGTTCTTCTATTCTGTAGGGATGTCTTTCCAGTATCCTTTGATGCAAAGAGATTTTAATTTTGATGATGTCCACTTTATTTTTTCTTGTGTTGCTTGTGCCTTTGGTGTCATATTAAGAAATCATTATGAAATCCAAGTTCACAGATTTATCCCTGTGTTTCCTTCATTCACTGGGTTACTCAGGATAGCCCGTGGGGTGGGGATGGGATTCTCAGCAGACACTTTCAACTCCTGGAACTGGAAAGAAGCTCCTGGTAAAGCAGGTGTCCCTAGGTAAATTTTTAATGTGAAAGCCAGTGAAGTTTAAGGTATATCACCCTTTTTTTTTTTTACATCTTTATTGGAGTATAATTGCTTTACAATGGTGTGTTAGTTTCTGCTTTATAACAAAGTGAATCAGTTATACATATACATATATTCCCATGTCTCTTCCCTCTTGCGTCTCCCTCCCACCCTCCTTATCCCACCCCTCTAGGTGGTCACAAAGCACCGAGCTGATGTCCCTGTGCTATGCGGCTGCTTCCCACTAGCTATCTACCTTACGTTTGGTAGTGTATATATGTCCATGCCACTTTGTCACAGCTTACCCTTCTCCCTCCCCATATCCTCAAGTCTATTCTCTGGTAGGTCTGTGTCTTTATTCCTGTCTTACCCCTAGGTTCTTCATGACATTTTTTTTTTCTTAGATTCCATATATATGTGTTAGCATACGGTATTTGTCTTTCTGACTTACTTCACTCTGTATGACGGACTCTAGATCCATCCACCTCACTAGAAATAACTCAGTTTCGTTTCTTTTTATGGCTGAGTAATATTCCATTGTATATATGTGCCACATCTTCTTTATCCATTCATCCATTCATCCGATGATGGACACTTAGGTTGTTTCCATCTTCTAGCTATTGTAAATAGAGCTGCAATGAACATTTTGGTACGTGACTTTTTGAATTGTGGTTTTCTCAGGGTATATGCCCAATAGTGGGATTGCTGGGTCATATGGTAGTTCTATTTGTAGTTTTTTAAGGAACCTCCATACTGTTCTCCATAGTGGCTGTATCAATTCACATTCCCACCAGCAGTGCAAGAGGGTTCCCTTTTCTCCACACCCTCTCCAGCATTTATTGTTTCTAGATTTTTTGATGATGGCCATTCTGACCAGTGTGAGATGATATCTCATTGTAGTTTTGATTTGCATTTATCTAATGATTAATAATGTTGAGCATTCTTTCATGTGTTTGTTGGCAGTCTGTATATCTTCTTTGGAGAAATGTCTATTTAGGTCTTCTGCCAATTTTCACTCTTTAAATGGTAATCATCCATTCCTATGGGAACATAGTTTACTTTCATATTTTCATAATTAAGCTACCAATGTAAGTTTTTAATCCTTGATCATTTTAAGCTAACCACCCCCCAACGTTGTTTAGAAAAACACTGCTACTACTAAACATTTGTTCTTATTTGTAAAGCTTAGAAGTGAGATTTGTGAAGTTCTAAGAAACACTGATTGTAGAAAAAAGGGATTTTATGAAGACACTATAGGTATTTGTAAAGAATTGACATCACGGTGATACTGCTCTCTCCTTTCTTAGAACATGCTTTACCTTTCCATTTATTTGGTTTGATATCATTCAACATAATCCTACATTTTTTACATTAGGTTCAATCTTTCATTAGACTTATTTTGACATGACTGTCATTTCTACTTTTGGACACATTATTATTATTATTTTTTTTTTTTGCGGTACACGGGCCTCTCACTGTTGTGGCCTCTCCCGTTGCGGAGCACAGGCTCCGGACGTGCAGGCTCAGCGGCCATGGCTCACGGGTGCAGCCGCTCCGCGGCATGTGGGATCTTCCTCGACTGGGGCACGAACCCGTGTCCCCTGCATCGGCAGGCGTACTCTCAACCACTGCGCCACCAGGGAAGCCCGACACATTATCTTTTAAATTAAATCCTCAACCTCTTTTCCATAGTGATTAGAAATGTAATGACTTTTTTTTTGTCTGTGTTGGGTCTTTGTTGCTGCACAGGCTTTCTCTAGTTGCGGTGAGCGGGGGCTACTCTTCGTTGTGGTGCGCGGGCTTCTCATTGCGGTGGCTTCTCTTGTTGCGGAGCACGGGCTCTAGGCATGTGGGCTTCAGTAGTTGTGGCACGTGGGCTCAGTAGTTGTGGCTCACATGTTCTAGAGCTCAGGCTCAGTAATTGTGGTACAAGGGCTTAGTTGCTCCGCGGCATGTGGTATCTTCCTGGGCCAGGGCTCGAACCCGTGTCCCTTGCATCGGCAGGCAGATTCTTAACCACTGCACCACCAGGGAAGCCCATGACGTTTATTTTTATATTGAGTTTGCATCCAGAAAACCTGTTAATCGTCTTTTTTCCTATGGCTCCCTTATATACTCTTGAGGTTCTATATACACAATTGTTTCAGCTATGAAACAAGATAAGTTACTTTTTTCTCGCTTTATAATTCTTGTACCTATTTCTCATGGCACCGGCTAGGATATCCAGTAGACTGCTGATGGGGGCAGGACTATGGGTATTCTTGGTTTGTGTATAATTTTATTAGACAAGTGACCTTTTGCCAATTGACAGTTCTCATCTATTCCTTACTAACCAATATTTCAGAAACAGAGGCCTGATTGAAATACAGAGGCATTGATTTGGGATTTGTTAGGACTGCAGCCTGGGAGATGCAGATTCAAGAAGTGCTTGAGGGACTTCCCTGGTGGCGCAATGGTTAAGCATACACCTGCCAATGCAGGGGACACGGGTTCGAGCCCTAGTCTGGGAAGA